GGAGGAAGGGGTACAGGAAGAGAAAAACCATTAAGATGAAGAAATTGGCTTCAACCCCTTAGCAACTGAGTCAATAGCATCATAGTCAAGGGATGATGGGAGCAATCCCAATCCCTCGGCATCAAAATCTTTCCCTATCAATTTCTCCTAACCCAAATTTCAGAAGCAGAGGAAGATCAAAAAGAGAACTCTCTTCAATTTGACCTATCTTTTGAAACTAGCCCTAAACACTCATCAGATATTCCATGGTTCTCTCTTGAACTTTGCATAGTCACAAATCATTGACAGCTTTAACCTGTCTGACCATGAGCAAATCAAGGTAAGACTCGAAAAATAAGAATAAGCTGGTAGTCAATTGCATTGTGGCCATCATTTGCATGCTCTTGAAATAGAAGATAATGGCAAGAGTTGTAACCTATTTTAGGATCCATTTAGAATTACGGTAGGGAATTATACCATATTTTCCTCTGTTGTGTTGAATCAGTAAAAGAGGGCCACTATGTACTGAATATAATTTTCTTTGTTGATGCACTGTGTTGTGAAGGGGATGTGAGCAGGAATATAACTTGAATACTTAAGGAAGTGAAGCATGCTTGGCGTTGCCTTGGGCTTTTATTCGCCATAGTGTTTCTTTGACAATTATTTAGAAGTCTCCAATTGCATTATTGTCGAATATGAAACTTGCCTATGTCATTGGAAACTTTTCAACCTCAATTCTGAAGGTTATGACTAAACCGAAAGGAAATTTACATGTATAAATTTTGGGTTATGCTGATAAAATGGATTTAATACCTATCAGCTAAAGGCAGAAATATAAAGTAAATTGTGAAAAACAGACTGGAGAAAGAAAAAAGGAATATTGAAATCCATTATATTGGAAGAAATATACCTTACTATAAAAAGGAATGTTCTTTAAAAGTTAAAGCTCCAGATTTAATTTAATTTTAATAGCAGAAACTTCATGGTTTTAGATAGTGAAATAAATCACATTCCTGCATGCAGTGTAAGGACCCCAAGAATGCTACACATATGTATGTATTTGATGTCTCGGGGAATCAATATAGCAAAGGACCTCTTGGATTTTGAGCTGTTGTGGATATTAATAACAAAAATTGTCTCCCCTAGTAGCTTTAGTTTTGAGGTGAGGTGGTCTTTTGACAGGGTATTAGAGCTTGTTTGAGTTTGGTGAGTGCTTAAACTTACCACACCATTTGTGTTTGCCTTTGGTTTTCATTTGTTTATGTGTATTATTTAAATTTTTTTCTCCTGTCCAATTGTTAACTCGAGTCCCATATGAGGGAGGATATGGACAAAGTAGCATGACTTGTAACCTTGTCCCAATTTGCTTCTAAATACGATAGATTTGTTTATAAGCAGACTACGCCACCCATATAAGTTTTGGGATGAGACATCATTGATTTACATATGAGCTTTTAAACCCATGTTTGTACCCCCAACCAGAAACCCCAAATAAAGTTTATATTTGTCTTTCATAATAGAAACACAAGCGAACATTTCCCTTGCTTAAGATAAATATTTCTAAATGTCATTCATGATTGATTGTGATTATAAATTATCATGAATTGGCTGGACAGAGTGTTGAAAACCAGAAATTTTGCTATCAATTCCAAAGGATGTTTCACATTAGAAAATTCATGAGGACTGTTGCTTGTTTTGGTGTTATAAACTCATGAAAAATGTGAAGAGAACAGTTTATAAGTAGTTGAGATACAGATAACTGAGAGGCTGTTGCCTAATATGTTTGCCTTTTATTTTAATTTGAGAAAAGCAATGAATTGCATAAGAGTTAAATCTGTAGAATTATTTTATTAAAATATGGTTAAAATATATTTTCCTTTTTATTTAATAGAGTTATAGGTTTCCTTTGAGATTTAATCTTTCTAGTTTCAAATTGTTTTTTCCTCCTGTACATGACGTGGTCTTAAGTTTAATGGACATTGTTTTTCAGACAGGAGCTATGCGGCTTGGAAAAGATGCTTTGGTTCTTACCCAAACTGCAAACTCCAGATCAATTGCATTTCTTTCCCAGTCACTAAATGAAGGAAAAGACGTATGCAATCAATCCCCAGCTCGGAGTTCATTGTTTTGTCCCATATTTTCCTACAAATTGTCTATTCCTGTCTAAACCGTCTATTTTCTTCTGTGAATCTTATGCTGTAGAATTTGGAGATCCCTGTTGTAAGCTACCGCAGAATTGGGCAGTTTATGGAAGTAGATACAAGTGTCCAGAATGAGTCTTCTGCAAAATACAATTTGAAAGTCATCAAGGAATTTTCTCCATTTGATAAGTACCTTATTGGTGAAAAAGCAGGCCTGTTCAGTGGAAATAGCACAGGTACACAAATATTTATATGGAATTTAGATGTATGGGGATCAAATTATAGCTTGCAATGGGAAGCGGGGATGAGTGGAGGGAGTTCCTTCCATCAAGGTGACATACTCATTCGTTCCAGGAGGATAAGATCTCGTCCAGGCCAAATATCTCAGAAGGTATATTTCTCCACTTTAATTTGATCAGTATAATATGATTATTGTACGTACAAATGAGATTGTGGTTTCCTTCCATTCCAGGTGCCTTTGGATTATTCTCTTAGATCATACTTGGAGGTCATCTTCTTTGATCCACGTATGAAGATCTATGTACAAGGAGCCCGGGTAATTGCATGCATCACTGACGCACAAGCACCGTCTCTCACACACACTCTCATGTGTATCTATGTCAATTGCATTGAGAAGATTGCACTGTTAATATGCTATTTCTTAATAGGTAAAATGTCGACCTCTGGCAAAATCTCTAAACAACACCATCATTGAAAATGGTATTGTCATGGGAAAACCAGTTCAACTTACGCTTGGCCGTTCTCAATTAGAATGGGAGCAAGCAAATTGTGGAATGTTTCTATATTGGCATGGGCGTTTAATTGAGGTGAGAATGTAGTTTTCCTTGCTCTTAACTAAATGAAGAAAGTAATTGAATGCCCTTCTCTTCACTTTGTGTAACATTGTTTTTTATCCAATAGCCTCAAAATTAATTTCACTATTGAATGTTTTTTACTAGAACCTATTCCTGAATCTGAAATATGAATGCAACGTGTTTGATACCCTTTCTGTATTTTTCCACAAAATTATCTGAATTGCATCTTGTTGGTTTTTATGTTTTTGCTTTTCTATCTTGGTGATATTTGTCCTGCATCGACTAGATTTGTTGAATTGAATTTCAACTGTCTGATAAGTTGAAACTAATCATCGTGCTTTTTAATTTGAACTTGTTAGGTACAATCGATAGTTCCTAAATTTAGGTTGGGTATATGTTTGGCATTACTTCTTGATAATATTTCTTGTTTTCCATTTTCTATCACTGGTTATGACTTTTACTCTACAAATTTGTCTGTACTATTGCTTATTAACTTTCTTTCAGGACTGTACATATATTAAATTACCAATTTTTTTACCCAGTACTTGGGATCATCATGGAAGCTACACAATTCTCAATTGATTGGTAATTAGTGAAAAACAATGCTTTAATCGAGTTAGGCATGAAATTAGGGCACAGACCATTTGTCCAACCAAAAAGTTAAGAGAGAAGTAGGATGTTTGTAATGAAATCTGAAGTTACTGCAAATAGATTGCTCAAACAGAAGGCAATAATGGAAAATTTTAAATTTTAAATGACAAGAGAATCACATGAAATATGAATTCGTTTCCTTTAAGGTGGCAAATGACATTAACAGATTACTTGTCTTACGATATACTCACTTTTCATTGAGGTACCTTCTAAATTTGATTTCACTTTGATCTTTAAAATGTTTTTTTCGTCTTCATTCTCCTCACATCTCAAGGTTAATGAAATCAGAAGCTTTTCTCTATTTCTTACTTGTAATTGTACATTCTAATGATCCCTATTTATAGTACAAGTAATGAAGTAAAGAAGGAAAGAACGAATTCACTAAAACTCAGTTGGATTTACATCAAGAAATCAGACAACATAATTTACACTACTATGGTAAGGAGAATCAATTCATTCTCTTCCTTGAAAAATCTCGGGATTTCAACACTTTCCCTCAAGTTGGATCGTAAATATTGATCATATGCAACTTGCTTATAAAATCATGAAGCTTTTGTCGAGATATTCCTTTAGTCAGATATTTGTAGCTTGTTCTTGTTTGGGGACATAGGTCGTGCAAATTGTTTCCTCATCAACATTTTCTTTTATGAAGTGTCTATTTACTTTGACATTCTTAGTTCGGTTATGTTGAACTGGATTAAGGAAAATGTTGTTCGGTCCTTTGTTATCACAATAATCTGATTGTACGCTTTACTGGGATACGTAGTTCTTCCAAGAGCTTTCTTAACCACAGTCCATATATTCCTTGTACAATGGCTCTAAACTCGATTTAAGCACTACTTTTGGCAACTGCAAACGTAATGTCTAGTCTAGTGTGTGACAAATAGATTAGGTTTCCCACTAATCTTTGATATCTGTCTATTTCTACTGGATTTCCATCTTCAATTTTCTTTCTCGCATCCACAGGTGTATCGTTTAGTTTACACTCTAGCATGCTAGTTTTAATTAGGAGGTCAAGGACATTTTCGTTGCAAGCCACTTATTCCTTTCTTCCATCTTGAAACTCTGATTCTTAAGAAATATCGTATTTGTCCTAGATCCTTCACTTCAAATTCAGTGGCTAGGTTCTTCTTTAGTCTTTCCATCTCCACTATATTGTCTCCCGTTAGAATTATATCGATATATACGATCAAAATCATTTTAGATTTATTTTCAAATTGTTGGAGAAACATAGTGTGATCTGACGTCGCTTTCGATATCCTAGACCTTTCAAAACCTTTGCAAATTTATCAAACCATGCTCTTTGTGACTATTTGAGTCAGTACAGTGACTTCTTGAGTTTACATACACTGTGTTTTTTTATCCATCCTGTAGAAGCCTGATGGTAATGTCGCCATTCAGGAATGCATTTTTAATGTTTAATTGCATAAGTGACCAATCTAAGTTGGCTGTTAATGATAGGACTCGAATTATATTCAACTTTGCCATCGGTGCAAATCTTTTCGTGTAGTCGATGCCATAGTTTGTGTGTATCCTTTAACAATCAATCGAGCTTTATATCATTCTATTGCCCCATCAGCATTGTATTTCAAATTGAAGACCCATTTGCACCCAACATATTTCTTTCCTTTCGGTAGATCCATTGCTTGCCAATTTTCAATTTTTTTAGTGCTCACATTTCCTCCAATACCGCTTCTCTCCATTTGGAAATTTTTGATGCATTATTTGGGATTTTTGTACAGTCAAGGTGAGATGTAAAAGTATGAAATCTTGTAGATGGAGCATTATATGACATGAATTTTGAAATAGGGTGGAGAGTACATGACTGACTTTTGTTTTCTGAGAGCAATGGGTAAGTTCATATAAGAAATTTCTGATGCTTCATGAGGATCTAGAGCTATCATTGGTTCCGACTCTTTTGGTGCTTCGAATGTAAAATTCTCCTTGTACCTTGATTTTGGTTTTCTTGAATAAAAAATTATCTTCTTACCATTTTTATTCTACATCTTCCCTTGGATTCAAGTTTTCTCTTGTCAATGGCATATTGAACCAGATCGTGGGATAAGTTTCGTGCTTGGGATAGGTTCAGGAAGAAAGATATCAAAGTCCAACAATCGATCTTCATGCAAAATCCCCCCTTTGAAGAGATTTTTTTCAAAGTACGGGGTACTTTCAAAGAAAGTGACATCAAGGTTTACGCAGATTCTTTTCGTGGAAGGATCATAGCACTTATAGCCCTTTTGAGTAGGAGAATACAATGAGAATGCATTTAATTGCTCTGGAATGAAGTTTGCTTCGATTAAGAGAATGAACTTGAAAAAATGCAGTGATAGGTTAGAGTTAAGGCGAGAGGTTGGGAAATACTTTTGAAATTTTTGGAGGGGTGATTCGAAGTTTAGAGTATGGCTAGGCATTCTGTTGATTAGATATGTAGATGTTAGGATAGCATTTCCCCAGAACATTTTAGGCATGTTGATAGTAAATATTAAGACATGAGCAGCTTCTAAAAGATGCCTATTTTTGCGTTTGGCAATCCCATTTTGTCGGGGAGTGTCAATGTATGAACTTTGATGAATTATTCCATTTGTTTGGAGGAAGTCCCACATGATTTCGTTGAAGTATTTTGTGCCATTATAAATCCGTAGGATTTGGACCTTTTTTGGAATTGTGTTTGAATGATGAAATGAAAATTGACAAGCACAAAATGGGCATCAAATTTTGCTTTAAGTAGGTGAATCTAACAAATTCGAGTGTGATCGTAGATAAATGTAACAAATTATTTTGCATGAGTACGGTTCAGAGTTCGTGAGAGACCCCCATAAATCACTATGGATCATGGTGAATGGTTTTGATGGTTTGTATGTGGATTTTGGGAATAATGTACGTTGATATTTTCCCAATTCACAGATTTCATATTGAAGATCAATTGACTTTTTATTCAAGAAATGGAGGGAAATACACGTTTCAACAATTGAAAGTTAGGGTGGTCCATTCTAAAATGCCGTAAAATAATATCACTATTTCTAAAAGCAGATGTAGAATCACAAAGTGTAATTTGACGCTTACTTTCAGTAAGGCTCATCAAAGTAGTAAAATCCTTCACATTTTTAGCACTGTCAATCGTCTTCCCCAATGATAGGTCCTAGAAATAAAATGAGACGGAAGAAATTTAGCAAAGCAATTGGAATTTTTTATTAGCTAGCTTATAGATAGTAAATTGCAAGACAAGTTTGGAACATGAAGGACATATTCCAAAGTTATAGAATCAGAAATTTGGAGAATTCCCTTTTCCAGCGATTGATGAAAGTGAACCATTTGCAATTTTAAATTTAATATTACCAGCACAATTTGAACATGAGGAAAGTTGGTGGTAGGAGTCCATCATTTGATTATATGCTTTAGAGTCAATAATCCAGAAAGTTTTAAATTGGGTGGTTGATTTGAAGGCTCTCAAAAATTACGTATGAGGGCTAGTGAACTTGAAGGGTTTTGACTTGATGGTTGGAGGCTAGAGAATATTTTGTAGAGTTGCTCTATCTCTTTAGGATTAAATGCACTACTTGGCTTCTTGGATTTTTTTTGTTTGATAATCAATAGACGCTTGGTATCCATGATTTCTATTGCTTTGTCTTGGTTTCCATTCGACCGATTTTTCATGTATATCCCAGCATCTGTCTTTTTTGTGTCCTGGCTTACGGTACGGCAATGTTCACACCAAGGTCGTCCTTTTGCTGTTTCGGGCTTGATCCACTAGCAAATCCTCTTGAATTTTCAGTTAGCCCCATTCCCTTAAGTTAAAAGAGCTGACATTTTACCAAGCCCAATTCCTTTGGATGTTAAGGTCGATGCTTCACTTCCTGCTGGCCTAATTGAAACTGCTTCCTTCAACAATGTCTTCCTCCGACTTTCTTCTCTTCTCACTTCGTAGAAGTCTTTGCTAGTTTTTAAGGCAGGGGTCGCTGGCCGAGTATCCTTCCCTTGACGTCGTCCAGATCACGATCGAGTCCCGGCCAAGAATTCATAGACCGGTTCATTCTCCAGCCCCTTCTTGTACCGTACATTGTCTTCGAGGCATTCCCATTCTTCTTTGACACTTATATCCAGTTTTTGCTAAAGAGATGTCATCTCCAAGTAGTATTTCGTGAATTTCCGTAATTGATTGCTTGGTTTTGACGAGCCTAGCTTTGATACCATGAAATCAGAAGCTTTTCTGTATTTCTCACTTGTAATTATACATTCTAATGAGCCCTATTTGTAGTACAAGTAATGAAGTAAAGAAGGAAAGAACAAATTCCCTAAAAATCAACTGGGATTTACTGCAAGAAATCAGACAGTATAATTTACGCAGTGGTAAGGAGAATCAATCAGTTGCTTCCTCGATAAATCTCGGGATTTCACAGTTAAGGACATATCATGTGACCTATCGTAGAACTTCCTCCAGTCATTCAAGTGATGAACCACTTAAGTGTGGGAATTAGGATTTAACTACTTGTACATCATTTTTTGCCACCTTATATGACAGAATCTGTGTTGGCAGTTTTTTACTGGATGAAAAAACAGGTTTTTTTTTTTTTTTTTTTTTTTTTTTTAATTTTGGACCTTCTGACACCACATTAACTAACCATGAACACCCACAGATTAGACTAGCCTTCGCTATTAACTAGTAAGAAATGATAAATATTATGTTTATAATTAGATGAAGTTAACTTATGAACTGAGTTAGAGAGATATTTGAATTTATTGTGCATGGATACTAGAAACTAATCCTTTACTGAAGGTTGTCAAAACTATTTCAATATTCTTATGCAACCTTTCATGTCAATGCTACTGCTTTTGTTTCTATTATCTCTGACATAGGGAGAAAATGTATTGTTTACGTGGAACCATGTGTTCATGTGGAAAAATTCTCATTATTGGTTTATCTTGCATGGAACGAGGTTGGGATTGAGGAGTATCTACTGAATAATAGGAACTACATTCAATCTGTGCTTACATTTTCTCGAGTCCAACTAGCTAGCATCATCTTTTAGTAAATGTTACTTGTAGACACGTGAAAATGTTTTACAATCGAATCTTTAGGACTTCCTCATTTTTTTTATTTTATTATTATTATTATTATTATTTTTTTGGATTTGGTCATTCTTGTTGCCCCCTGCATTTCCCCTATTTATATTGTCATAGGTTAAACCAACCCTCTGTTTAATATAGTTTCTATTTTGTTAATTTGTAGGCTTACAAGAGAGTTGGAAGTATGGTTCATAATGGAGATAATGGTCGTGGCATCGTTGGCGTTGTTGATGTTACTGATTTAATCGTAAACATTCTTATATGAACTAGCTCATCTTTTATTCTTTTATTTTGGATGCATAATTAATGATGTGTGGGAGTGTAGATATGTGGCAATGATCGTTGACCTTTTCCAACTTTAGAGATTAGAATTGTGTGCTGCAAATACTAAGAGTAGAATCTATGCATAGGAAAATATGTTATACCAGCTTTTATCAATTAAACAGTGAAATGGGTATATTTGCTTATCTTATGTCTTGTAAATTTTCAACGTGTAAAATGACTTGCTTCAAGTTATAAGGGTGTGGACATCAACAAATAGGGCTGGACATGGTTCGGTCCTAAAGAGAATCGAACCGGATCCAAATTTTCATGAATTTAGTAAGTGGAATCGTTGGGTCCAAATTTAATTATGGAACCGTTCAAGTTCGGTTTCATCTGTTCGGTTCAGTTCCTGAGTTCCATATAGTAATTAAATTTTTTAATATTTACAACAATGCTAAAATAATTCAACTAATGATATATTCAATTTTAGCTCTTATAAAATAACATAGTCCAATCTTATATATCTTTTGTACTTTTCTTTGTTGAGTTCTCCATAGATTTGATTGTTAGAATCACAGGAAAATGAAGATAGCGAACTCACAATAATGAAGAAAGGTGTAGTGGAGCTTCCAATTCGATTTCTCTAGAACTGTAGAAACGACACTATGATAGAGTAATAGATTTTGGTAAAATCTAGGTCAATTTGATTAAGTTGGAATTGGGCTGAAAATTAGATATAGGAAAATCATATTTTGGGTTTGGGTTAAATTAATTAGTTAGCAAATTTATTTAGAAAAAATAAAATATTTTGGCTTATTTAAGATATATAAATTAAAATAAAATTAGGGAGATTTAATTTTTATTCGGTTCCTCGGTTCTTGGTTTAGAATCGAAATCGAATATGTCGATTTTCGATTCAGATATTCGTTTAAGTATTTAACTTAAGAAGAACCGCTCAGTTAGGTTCTGTAAGTGTTGGGCCGGGTGTGGTTGGTTCCGGTTCGATTTGATTTGGGAGTTTTGTCGGCCCCTATCAACAAATATGTAGAAATTATATCATCTTTCGAAGTAACTGACCGTAAACAATGTTTTGAAGCTATAACTTCATATTCAAATAATTATATTTGTATCAAACCTAAAACACATTGGCCAGGCAAGCACTCTTTGTTATGAGCATTGCAAATTAACACTTGCATAGTTTTAGAAATGTTCTATTATCTTTTATGAATTGTCAAGCCAAAAAGAGTGTCTTCTTCCCTTTTCTCAATAGAACTTTGGAAACTTTCTATATTTCAACTCGTTAATTAAAACCAGGGATTAACTCATTTGAAGTTAATTGTCACCATGTAGCTTCTATACCATTAGGTTTTATGTGGCTAATGAATTCTGTTTTGTTGATAGTTTGTAATTGTTGTAGTATTTAAATGAGTCCACGGCATTCATTCACTCAAAAGAGTTTCTATTTTTTCAACCAGAATTGTAATTTTTCGGGCCTGATTTCCAGAAGCTATATTGGTCAGTAATATCGAACTAAGCACAGTAATATATCATCTCTCACACATGTTCCTACTCTCTTTGCTAAAGTAGATAATATTTTATGTTCTCCCTTAACAGATTGTGGAGCCAATAGATCCGAGCTTATTGCTTAGATCAAGTACCTTACAAGAAAGTATGTGGACAGAGAAGGGGTGATTTTTATGCAATCAGTTACAAAGGAATTTCAGGAATCATTGATAATTGGATATTTGACTTTATAAAATTTGACAATTCCTATGTTTTAGGCATTTTTCTCGTACATACATTCTTAAAATCAGTTGTATGTGTCTACATATAGGATTATATATTACAATTTTATAGACTACGAAGAAGAATATTAGAATTTATTCTCCCTGTTTTTTTCATGGTGGGACCGTTTCTTGGCCTCTTCCAAATTATTTGATGGCTAATTGCACACTGCTGTTGTCTATTCAGTCTGTAATCCACTTTTCGCATTTTTGTTTAAGCCTTAAAAACAATGTTGTCCAACAGTGCAGGCTATCCACTTTTCACGACGTTGTTTAAGCCTTAATTAAAGAAGTTTGGTCTAACAGTCATGCTAACTTCATTTCCTTTTTCCTATTGCAGGATGATGGTAAAGGCCATGTCTGGGTGCATAACAGTAAGCAAGGGTTCCAGGATTGTGAAGCCTATGCTGAATTGGAGAAGTGGCTTGGTGAAAGAGCAGATGAATACCTGGACAAATTTGTAGATACGATTCAACTGGTAATCTTTACTATCATGTTTTAAAATTCAGTGTGGATATTTGTCTCCAAATTAAGCCCTTGCTTGTGTTGTCATGTTGGTCAGCCAACCTCCATAACAAATAAGTTAGTTACTTCACTGTTGAATGTGGTGAGGAATGCAAGTTGTATAGCCGTTGCCCCTCAGTTTAAGGGTTCTTGTTGCTTCATCAACAAAAAATGTTGAATATATTATTAGATATTAGTTAACTTTATATTGAATGAAAAGGGATAGATAAGATGTATGTAAAAGGGAACTTCCATTTGAAGACTCCAGGGTTTGTCTCTTTAATTCATGACCTTTCTGTCTTTTATACACAAACCAATATAAATATAAGCTCTAATATAATAAGTTGCACCTAAGCGTACAGCACATGGATGTCTCATGATGCTATTTACAACAGCGTTTCCCCTAACAGTGAATCTTCATTTTTTCACTTGAATGGTTTCACCAAGCTTGTCTCCTTTATAATCCATATAAATGTACATGGGTTTCACAGAGTTTCCTTTATCATTTGATTCACAGAGAACCCTGAATTCATTTCAATTGTTTTCCTAAGCTATGCATTATTAACTAGATCATTGAATGGTATTCATTGAGAACTATCCAATGTAAAAAATGAATTAATGTTGAAGCCATTTCTATCCATTGTGATGTAGCTACTTAGACCTATTTTGTTCGTTTCATATGTAGCCCATTTGGGCCCAATTTTTCTAAAATGCATTTTTCAAAACTCATTTTCAACCACATTCTTTGAAAGATTACTATTCCTAAAGTTATACGTAAACCCAAAAACTTTTCATTATATTTTAACCACACATTCTCCAAAAAATCACCATTCCGAAATACATTTCCCCCAAAATCTCATTTTAATGAAGCCACCGTTGAATAAAAAATACTATCATTACCTCTTCATCTAATTCATATTTTCTTC